GTGATTGTCTTCCTTTTCAAATTCTCTCTTTTTGACCATTCCTTTTTTGTACGGAAGTCAAATTTGCAGTCTCGTAGATATTCTTATTACCTTTTTTTCTTCTTGTGGTGGTTTGTTTTCGAGTTCTCTCTTTGAATTGTTGCTGGGTTTATTCCCTTAAATGGTAAAGTAGAATTCTTGTAAGAGTTTGTTGATTTTTCGTGTTTTAAATGTTTGTGTAAAAGCAGCTTTAAAGATATGTTTGTGTAATGTCAGAAATGGTAAGCCTCTAACGATTGGTGGAGGAGCAAGTATGAGAGGGCTAACAACAGGTGATGCCTTAAGCTATCTCAAAGCTGTCAAGGATATGTTTCAAGACAAGAAAGATAAGTATGACACTTTCCTTGAAGTCATGAAAGACTTTAAAGCTCAGAGGTAAGTAATGAATGCCCTTCTTCTCACTTCCATTCTTACAACCTGTAATTTGCTTATTTCTTGGTGTCTCATGTTGGTTGTAGAGTTGACACTAATGGCGTAATAGCAAGAGTAAAAGATTTGTTCAAGGGCTATGATGACTTACTTTTGGGTTTTAATACCTTCTTGCCCAAAGGGTACAAAATAACCTTGCCTGAGGATGAGAAACCTAAGAAGCCAGTGGATTTCGGAGAAGCAATCGAATTTGTCAACAAGATCAAGGTATGTTTTGAATGTAGTAATTCAGATACCAATTTAATCAATGATCTACACAGTTGACGTCAGTTGAGATTTATTCATGTAGGCGCGATTTGGGGGTGATGACCGTGCATATAAAAGATTTCTAGACATATTGAACATGTATAGAAAGGAAAGCAAGTCCATCTCCGATGTCTATAAAGAGGTGAAAATATACAGTAAATGTGCTTAGCTTATTGCCTCACATTTTTGTCAAKCAAGAATTCTCGTGTTTTTTTCTGCTTATCGTTTGTTCTTCAGGTAACTCTGTTGTTCCAGGACCATGAAGATCTGCTTGTGGAGTTTGTTCATTTCTTACCTGATAATTCCGGATCAGGCTCTGTTTATTATCCTCTTTCCGGGAGGAATGCAGTACCGAGTGATAAAAATTCTCCAGTTCATGCCATGCATCCAAAGCGTTTTGAGAAGGTTTTTTCCTATATTTTTCTAAAAGATTCTCAGATCTTTTGCAGCGTGGTTACAAATGTTTCTAATTGATGTCCGTGGTAGAAAGCCTGCATTGTGCCCATGCATGCTTAGTATGGAAAGTATTGACATCCTTTCTGTAATTGTGCTAAGAGTATTATTATAAAAGCAAGAGAAATATACAAATTAAGATGCAGTTTACAGCAAATGGACACGATAAATTATGTTTCCGAAAGTCGATGTTTCAGAGTTTGAGTGAGATGTTGATACATACTCTTACCTGCCACAGAAAATAAAACTACGGGGTAGGCATGATGAGTGTACTGAACACTTCGATCAATGGGAAGATGGTGATGAGAACCTTGTGGCTTGTTCTGCCGGTAATTCTCTGGGAAGTGAGTATTTGGTTCGCCTGTATCACA